TGTTATGTAAACATTATGTAATCCTATCATTGTGGTGTTGTACTGTTTGTACAGTTATTAGTCTTTACTTTTGTGTCTGTTTTTGACTCTTTTCTCTAAATAATTGCTGGTGTCTTCAATTTTTTACAAAAAGTCCAAAATTAAGGGGGTATGGGTCTCAAAATTGAGTTATCTCCCCTGATCTTCAGACAAAATGTTTGTTGTTTATATTTCTGGGTAGAACAGTACCTGTACTTTAATAAAAACTCAAAACCATAAGTCTAAGTATAATATTTATTAAGATATTCAAGTTTACATTTTGAAACTGGTTCAATTTTCCTGCCTTTTTTTGCAGGAATCTCCATCTTCAGTACCGGTAGAAGACTTGACCTAGCAGCCCAAGCCTTGGAGCCAGCCACTTCCCATTTTGGTTTCATACCCTATGGTCCTGACTGTTTCCAAAAATGGTAAATTTGAAAAATATGTGGGATCCTATAGGGACCACGGAACCAAATCAAAAATAGATTGTGGGTTTTTCCCTTTTGGGCAGAAGATTTAATAGAAAGGTGAATGCCTCGGGGCCTGCTGGTTGGATATTAAGGTGGCAGAAGTTTCAAAAGTTTTATGTGTGGGTTGAGCAATATATATAGATTTAATATGTATAAAAAAATTAAAAAAAAAATTCAAGTCTGGTTTTGTCTGGGTGAGTTTATTAAGTGTGTAATTTGCTGTAAATTTTGTTCGATTTTTAGTGCCGAATTCAATACAAGATGGCAGCCCCCATATAAAAAAAGTTCAAATTGGCAGAATTTTGAAATATTTTTTTTACAGTTGTGTGAGATGCTATTCTTCAAAATGAGGTCAGGTAAACCAGTGTGGATAACCCCATTTAACCAGGACAGTGGTAAGCGTTAACACTATCGTCTATGGAAAATCATTTGGTTCCGCGGTCCCTAAAGGCTCTCCAACATTCCACTTTGGATAGGTTCAACAGAGTAAGAGAGTAAGTTCATATTAATCTCACATGCGTACTGTATATGCATCTGGTGACCTCCGTTTAGGAACTACTTTTTTGTTTAAGCAAATGCTTTGATTGCAAAATATTGAGTTCCGTTAAGGCTAAGAATGTAAACATAACGCCATTAAATGTTAGCGCCTGCGAGAAAATATGCAACTCTAAAAATACAACCACAAATTGAAATCATCTAACGGAAGCAAATATCGCATAAGAACTGTTTTTTGTCCATTTTCTGACCGTGACATCGTAAAGGAACATACACTGCCTCAATCCGTTTAGGAGAGGGAATGCATAACTAGCAGTGTGCTTTCGTAAGAAATATCAAAATATTACCCTCGCTGGTGCATGTAACGTATATCTATTATCAATCTAAAAACGAAGAATATACTCCATTTTAGGTTGGTTGGACATTATAATTTGGCTAATGACACCTTCCCTATTCCACCGGTATTTTCGTGAGAGAATTAACATATGTAACTGACAACTTTGAGCAATAATTCAAATGTCTCGACTACATGTAGTACCTGTAGTTAAATTTACCGCTCCGCAACCTGCCGAAAAACCGCTGCTAAAGTTAAAGTTAATAAATAAATATGAAATGCATATTGCTATTAAAAGATATAACACTCCAATGACTAATATTCATTTCTAAACACTTTCTTCAGGCTGGTAAGTATGGATTATGAAAAGTTCTTTTTACACAACTGATACAATTTTATATGTGATGTTTTGATGACTAGCACTGTTACCTTCATCAGCCAAATGACCAGTGAAGCGTATGCACACAAAGGTTTAAAATGTGAACGAGTTGTCCACAAAATCGATGTCGATTTCGGCTACGCTGTAAGCGAATGTGCAATAGTTGTTACATATGTACCAAAATGACTCGATTCAGCGTACGCTTTGTTGAATACTTGGTCATAAATCTAGAGTCTTTGAGCCCTCTCGTCTCGAATCAGAACTGGCCCACTGTGGCGTATCCCGATGGCTTCCTTTATCTGCCGTTTAAACAGATTGCTCTCTCTGTCCAAAACTTTGGAGCTATACCAGTCAATCCCATGATATTTCTGTGTGGCATGGTCTGTGATTTATCTGGGAATCCGACTGCTTCCTTTCTGATCTGATGACTTTCCTACCTTCTTGGGTTTCTGTATCGTTTCGGTGTTCACCATGGCGGACCCCAAATCGCCTTCCAGTCTCTCCAATATTAGACGCGTCGCAGTTTTTGCATCCGATTTTGTATACGCATTCTGCGACGTTTTCTTTAGGTGTTTTATCCTTAGGCCGAACTAGGATATTGCGAAGCATCTTGTGGGGCGTCATGTCTGTTGCTATGCCATGACCGCGATATATCCTCTGAATGGTTTCGGATATACCTTTTATATACGGGATGACCACTTGACCTTTAGGTTTCTTCTTATCCGTGATTGGCATTTTTCTTCTTCTTCTTCTTACTTTAACACTGTTTTTGAACCCGTTTTAGGGCCTATTCCGGATATGCACATTCGTCTCATTGCCCTAGCAATGTGATTCTGCTCTTGTGTTTTGTCCTGTTGTTCTGTGACTATTTTATCACATCTTTTGAGCAATGTGCGTACGACGCCTTACCTCTGGTGCAAGGTACGGTGAGATTTGAGGTTCATGTATTGGTCGGTATGGGTCTTTTTTCCATAGACCAATACCATCACGATTTTGTCTTTTTTCTTTACCAGTAGAATATCTATGAAGGGCATTGTGCCGTTGGTTTCTTCCTCACATATAACTTTGATGTTGTTAGTGGCATCTATGGTGTTGATATGTGTGGTCAAATCCTTCTGTGACCCCTTTTTGATTATCTCAAGTATGTCGTCAACATATCGTTTCCATAAGCTAGGTTTGTATTCTATGGGGGACGTGGCTATTGCATCTTGATCAAGATGTTCCCATAACACTGTCGAAGCTTCACTGGTCATTTGTCTGATGAAGGTGACATCGTACATAACGTTCTAGTCATCGAAAAGTCGCAAATTTTATTGGTTGTGTAAAAAGAACGTTTCACAAATAAGACACATATTCATGTCATGGTGCAAAGCCTTGTTCCCGACTGCTTCTTATGTTTACGTTAATATGATGCATAAGCGGTTTCACAGGATGTCATGAGAGCATACGTTAACACAACTGCAGCAACCAGAGGTAATGTTTACACAATATACGTATTTTTATTATTATTATTAAGATCTCTAATGACAATTTTGTTATGAGTAGTGTTAACTAAAACAAGTAATCGTGAAACAGAGGAAGCGTGTCAAAGGTTGACAAGGAAGTTCGTCAATGTAAAGGGACCCATTGGGGTATGCGAGAAATAAGATATATCATCCAATTCTTTACGGCACGTAAGAAAATACAATTTAAGTCCTTTGTGTTTTATATCATTGGCACCCTGAGTGTGGTATACACGAAGGTAATAACTTGTGCTGTGTAACAAAAAAAAAGGAATGCCAGTTTTACCCTGCTGATAAGAGAAAAGAGCGATAGTTAACGACACCGTACCTTTAATAGAATTGAATGATTCTACTAAACAGAGGATAGCTCTCATTTGTATATCGTTACTGACTATTATATAAATGTTTGTTTTTCTACAGGTTTCTCATATTGTTATGCCGGATGGCTGGCTGTGTTCTTCAATAACAACACAAAGATCGTCCGAGTTTTCAGTGCAACCTTTTAATGGCGGTAAAACTCAACGAACACCGGATAACCTGCTTCCGCGTCTAACATCAAATCCGGGGACCGGACCCCGATTTCCGGAGGAGGTAAATCCGCATTACACCACCCCCTTCCAGGCTCCTTTAGCTCCTGCTAAAGGTCAAGCTTGGTAGGCTGCTTATATGCCCGGCCGTAACGCGAGGACCGGGATGGTTCATCTGAGATGGTTCGCTGTGAACACATCCCAGTTGGCACAGGTGTCTTTGGCTCTTCCTCTGGTAAACTGGCTTTCAGCGATTGTTGGCTGTTCTGCGACTCGTGGTGGTTTTCCTCTGTCCCGAACTTCTTATCCATGGTTGGAAGATGGTCTTCCTC